CCCAAAGATCCTCAAATTATTGAAATTAGGTGATTTGCCATAAACAACTTCATAAGGGGTCTTAAACTATAAGAGATGGTGTTCTATTTAACAAAAATGCTACCATTTGAATGCACTTCCCCTGATATTGAATGGGTAAATCATATTGAGAAATAAGGCATCTAGAAACTTGAAAACGACTTCTATGCTTTCTCTCAACAACCTTATTTTTTTCAAGAGGTGTAAGAACAAGTGATTTCATGTAAAATTCCTTTATTGTTAAGAAAAACCCTTAGATCATTATTGACCAATTGTTTACCATTGTCAGTCTGTATTCTCTCAAATGAACAGAGAATTGTTTTAAGACATATGCCATAAAATTCTTAATACAATTAACAGTTGTATGCTTATGTTGTAACACACCAAATTTTTTTTTTAAATAATTTAACTCAACCATAGTTGGGTTACAGCCACCCAATACATTTTTATATCAATAATTTCGATATAAAATATTTTATAATTGGCTTCAACTCACACACTATAATATTTCAGATAAATTTTTTACCTCCCACATGCCATTAGGCTAAATCACATTTGTCCATCCTTATACTCCCAACAAGTAAAATAAGCAATTTAGTCAATTTTCAACACAAGCCAGTTATTTGGCCTTATAATCATGCCATTTTAACCAATCCAAAGTAAACCAAATATTAAAATTACAGTCATCCAAATTTTACCAAAAATAGAAATAGTTTGAAAGGCATGATTACATTTATATATTCATATAATTGATAATAAACAAAAAGCCCTAATATTGACAATATAACACATTATAAATCATAAATTAAATACCCAAAAGAGACAGTGGATCTATACCACTAAGCCTCTGGGACTCCTCCACGTGTCACTCTTAGCTCTTCTCTTGAAAATTGTTAACCACATAATGAGACTCAAAAGTCCCAGTAACCAAAGCCAATTTATGATAGTGTATACAAACAGTTAAGTGGGTGCTTACTAAGTGAGAATTAAAAATAATATAATTCCAACAAATAAAAAATATTACAATACACACAAACAACCATCCTTATATCCCTCCATTAACCTCGAGCCGTAGCCCTCACTCGGTGCTAAATTACCCGGCCAAAGGTAGATTAGCCCGAGCCCTTACAAGCCACCTATTGAGCTCCAATAGGGGCGTACCACGTGGCACATAAATACAACAACAATAGCAAGTCTCCCAACACCTCCCACAATAATCAAACAAATTCATAATAATATTGCACAATTATACAATATTAAAAAAATTCATAATTTTCTCAATAATCACCCAATTAACATGAAGTAACACTAATCATAAATTAAAAGCATGGTTACCTTGTGGCTTTTTCAATAAATTATTCCTTAAAATTTCTCTCTCACCACAATCTTCACCAGTAATACAATCTACAAATAACATATTATTTATAAATATTAGTTTCAATTTTTGAAACTAATAAAATAATTCTAATAATAGAATTAAAAATATAACATAATTCCTAATCTCAATCTTAATACAAATCTATAGTTAATACTATTAAGTATAATTTTTAACTCCTCTTTTAATTATCAATAAACATTAATAATCTAAAAATCAACTTCTAAACTAATTTCTATTATCAAAATTTTCTTTTTATTTTATAAATTCGCACCTAAAATACTCAAAAATTAAAAATTGAGTTTCTAACTTAGAATCATAATCCTATAGCCATAATAATTCATTTCTCATCCCAAATAATCATCTAAACCTCAATAAATCAACATATATTTTCAGATCTAGTTTAGAATTTAATCCATAAGCCATAAATTCAAAGATCATTAACAAATTTATACTCTATAACATTTATTATACTACTGACAACCTCAAAAACCATATTTATTCAACATAAATTCATCCCTCTTTCAGATCTTAAATTTTCTACCACTACAAACTCAGAAACCAAAGAAGAAGGATGACTAAGAAAAATTTTTAGAACACTTACTTAGTCTTGAAAAGCTTAAAATCACACCCTAAATATCCTATTAAAAACTCTTACCTTAAAAATTTAGATATTTCGCACCGGTGACTCGCGTTCTCTCTGCCTCAGCACGCACGAAGGAATGAATGAGAAATGAAGGAAGGTGAGTTTTTATAAAAATTCAGTGGGTCCCACACTTTTTTTTTATTCTTTTCTCTCTCTTCTTTCTCTCTTTCTTTATTATTATTATTTTACTATTGTTACTATTGAGGCGGCCGCACGTTTTCTTCCTTCTTCTTCCTTTTTTTTTTCAAACCTTTTCCTTTTTTTATTATAATAATAATTTAATAATATTTTTTTTCAAATTTTTTTTAAATTTTTTTTTCTATTAACCCAAATTAACTATTAAAATTTAAATTGGGATGTTACATATGTTGCAACAAGAAAACCCAAGTAGCTTTAGAAAAATCATCTACAATCGTAAGAAAATATTGATACCCTTGATGTATGGGCTGCCTATATGGTCCTCACGCATCCATGTGTAACAACTCAAAACAAAAGGTAGTTTTAATAAAGCTAGAGGGAAATGAAAATTTAGTCTATTTAGACTGAACATAAGTATCATAGACCTTATTATTCAAATGAACATCATCATTTAACAATTGTAGATGTTTCATAATAGGAAAAGATAGATGGCCTAATCTATAGTGCCATAACCAACCATCACTAAAATCATTGATATCATCATTTTCAATAGTATTCAATGCATGATTATCAATAATGAGAATGTATGAGCCTTTTATTAGCTTACAATCGCTTTCATTTTGCCATCCTGAAGGTCTTGTACTAGACACAGATTAGGGAAAAAGACAATCATACAATTATCTTCCCCAGTAAGCCCATGAACAGAAATCAGATTAAGACATAGTTCAGGTGTATATAAAACATCTTTTAAAACTATTCCACCTAGAGACGTTGTTCCTATGCGAGTAACCGAAACTCTTTGATCGTTAGGAATTCTAATATTTTTTATAAGGCCAACATATTCTTCATAAGAATATATAAATCTTAAATCACTCACCATGTGAGTGGTAGTACTAGAATCTAAAATCCAACACATTCTATGCTTATAAACAGATGAAGTAAGCAAACCTATACTGATGAGGGCATGTATGGTAGGGTTAGAATCCTTCTTCAATAGTTGAAGAATTTGCTCATATTGTTCTTGAGTGAAGGTAGGAACGACTATTTGTTTAGTAACATTAGCTCCACTCTTTACTTGACTTGGCTTGTTCTCGTGAGAATGCTTGTTCTTGTTTCCTTTGAAGTTATCTAAAAACCCAATAATTTCATAGCAACTTTCTTTGTTGTTCCTTGTTTGTGACAATGAGAACATTCTAGTGGAGAGTTATCACGGCCACAACCTCTTCCACGTCCTTGCCCTCTTTCGATAGCCATGGCGCTTCCTTCAATTGGTGAAGGTTTGGCAAATCCGATAAGAGACCTCTATGCTTTATCTTTCATGATCATATTGTATGCTTGATTCACAAAAGGAAGAGGGGACATCAGGACAATTTGACTTCTTGCTTGGCTATATGACTCACTAAGCCCTATAAGGAATCGAAGAAGTCACTGTTGCTGTATCAGATCTCTATAAATCTTGGAAACCTCACATTTCTAAGTTGGGTTGGAAATCAATGTCAATTGTTCTTCCCACAACTCCTTCAACTTTGTATAATAGCTTGACACAGATAGAGATCCTTGGACAAGAGAATTATTCTCATGATGCACATCAAAAAATCTAGATCCGATGATCTTATCAAATCTCTCTTTTGGGTCCACGCAGACATGAAACACGTTCTACGCGTTTGCTAGTCCACTTGCAAGATCTTTCAAAACTGAGTTTAGTAACTATGATAACACCACGGTGTTGCATTGTTCCCATTGAGGATGAAGAGAGGATTCTTGCGCAACCTTTGTGCAAGTTCCATCAATAAAGCCTACCTTATGCTTCTCGAGCAATGCTATCCTTAAGGATTTGCTCCAAATCGTGTCATTTTCTGGTCCAATGAGGATATGAGGCACAAGAGAAATGGCCTGTGTGTTAGAAGGATGGAGGTATAGGTGATGATTGATATCGATAGTGTTGACAGCATTTTTCTCATCCCCAAACATGGTTGGAATCAAGATTGCTAGGGTTTTTGGCTTAAATGGATCTGAGACAGAACAAGAATGGCGACCAAGAAAAGGAGAAATACCAAGAAAGGAGAACTTAGGGAAGAAAAGACAAGACAACTGTTCGTGATCAGTACGTAGCATTTAGAAGGGAAGACATATTCACGTTGAGATAATGGATGTGTTTCTTGAACTTATCAGCCTACTTTCTAGTGATCTTCAGCCTCGGTCTTGCACATAAATCTTTAGAAAAAAAATTCCTTTGAGTCCGAATAAAGGACTTGGCTCTATGATATCATGTTGACTGAAGCGGATCTCCAGATCACACTTGACAGACTTTGAATGCAAAGTAAGACTACTAAATAATACACTTTTTTATTAACTTGAACATACAACCAGAAAGGGTATTTCTATGGACAATACCTGGACAAACTATATAAGAAAATAATGTAAAGCTATATATCTTCAACACAAATATCATCACTAGCAACTCGATTTTAATTATTGTGAGTAAGAAGGATTTCAATTACTTTCTTCTTTTTCTCGATTTCACTGGGTAATTTCGGCAATGCATGGTCAAATTTATTTACATACAAGGGACTTTGATTTTCAAAAATATTTATACATTTTATGATATTCTATTGTATTTAAACATTTTATTTAGAGTTTTAAAGTAATTCTTTTTTATCATTATTAAAAGTATAGGTAAAAACTTGCTAAATGTTAATACGAAATTAATGAAATCTAACAAATTTTTATTTAAGCCCAGACATATTAGAGGTGACTTCAAAGCTATAAATAGTAAGCAAGGGCATATAAGCTTGACGAAGGTTGCTTGGTGGTTAATGCTTGATCGGTTTATCCCATTAGAAGGGCCTGGACTGCCCGAACCCAAAGTGTGAATTGGCAGAAGCTTCGAGAATCCCCGTCGGCTCCCAGAAGTCTCTGGGACCTTTCCCCTAAACCCGAACGCCACAACATATCTCCTCTGCCTCGAAGCTCTCGGGTGTGCCCTGCTGTCGTGCTGCTTCCAATTCTAAACTCCCAACTCGTCACTCTCTCTTTCACTGCCCCTTTCCATGGCCGACGAAGCCAAGGCCAAAGGTAATGCCGCCTTCTCATCCGGTGATTTCGACGCCGCTATCCGTCACTTCTCCGACGCCATCTCTCTCTCCCCCAATAACCATGTCCTCTACTCCAATCGATCGGCCGCTTATGCCTCCCTTCACAAATACTCCGAAGCCTTAATCGATGCCAAGAAGACCGTCGAGCTCAAGCCTGACTGGTCCAAGGGCTACAGCCGTCTCGGCGCCGCTCATCTCGGACTTGGCCAGCACGACGACGCTGTCGCTGCTTACAAGAAGGGCCTTGAGATCGACCCCAATAATGAACCGCTCAAATCCGGTCTGGCTGATGCGCGGGCCGCGGCCTCCAGGCCCCGTTCGGCGCCGCCCATGGGCAATCCTTTCGGGGACGCTTTCTCCGGACCCGAGATGTGGGCGAGGCTCACTGCTGATCCCACAACTAGAGCATATCTGCAGCAACCTGATTTCGTGAAGATGATGCAGGATATTCAGAAAAATCCCAACAATCTCAACTTGTACATGAAAGATCAAAGAATCATGCAAGCCCTTGGGGTTTTGCTCAACCTCAAGATTCGCACCCCGAGCGAGGACACTGACATGCCCGAGTCTTCCTCTCCGCCCCAGCCAGCAGAGAGGAAGAGAGCTGCTGAAGCTGAACCGGCGAAGGAAGAGAAGCAGCCGGAGCCCGAGCCCATGGAATTGACGGAGGAGGAGAAGGATGCAAAGGTCAGAAAAGGTCAGGCTCAGAAGGAAAAGGAGGCGGGCAATGCGGCTTACAAAAAGAAGGATTTTGATACGGCAATCCAGCATTACTCTAAGGCTATGGAATTGGATGATGAGGATATATCATTTCTCACAAACCGTGCTGCTGTTTACTTGGAAATGGGGAAGGTACGTCCGTTGGCTTATATTCTTTTTTCTTTTTATTTTTGATAAGATTTGGCTTGTATTCTAAATGATTGGTGTTCATTCTAAGTTAATTTGAATGGGCGTGGGTTAACGGACGGAAGTGATTAATGCGTAGTTTTCATGCTACTGTATCTGAGGGTCCTTGCTGTTATGGTGCTGAAGGTATTATGGATTTTAATCCCACTTCTAAGGAAGTAGCTATTAGTGTGATCCCGTGGTGGTAGTGGTATAGATGTCCACCAATTCATGTGCCTAGTAGACGTAAGGCTGAGGATATTTGAGACTGCTTTTCACGTGACAGAGTAACTATATCGAATCAGCTCATGTTTGGGGTGCCTGCATGTTTGAATTGATGTTTGATTTTCTTCAGCGTTTATGTGATACCAGAATAGCAAGGGAGTAGGGACAGTAAAAAAAATGTTTTTTTGTTTGTTTGGTGTGGTTTCAAAACTATCCTCCAATCACAGTTAGAAGAATGCATAAAAGATTGTGACAAGGCTGTAGAAAGGGGAAGAGAGTTGAGATCAGACTTTAAGATGATAGCAAGAGCTTTGACAAGGAAGGGAGCTGCCCTGGTGAAAATGGCAAAATGCTCAAAGGATTATGAATCTGCCATCGAGACTTTCCAAAAGGCACTTACAGAGCATCGCAACCCTGACACGTTGAAGAAATTGAATGACGCTGAAAAAGCTAAGAAAGAACTTGAACAGCAAGAATACTTTGATCCAAAATTGGCTGATGAGGAGCGTGAAAAAGGTACCCTCTCTTTTAGCCTGCTCTCCATGCTCCTCCTTCTTGAGTAAGGCTGAGCTTTTTTTCCTCCAGAGAAGTATCCCTTATCTTGTATTGAATGCAATCATCAATGTGCAGGTAATGATTTCTTTAAGCAGCAAATGTATCCCGAAGCTGTGAGGCATTACACCGAGTCTTTAAGAAGGAATCCTAAGGATCCTAGGGTAATATTACTTGTTAAATGGAGCTCACGTTTGCAATTTAAGCAAATGCAGGGACTAATGTGGATTTAATTTCCTATCTTCTTCAGACATACAGTAACAGAGCTGCAAGCTACACAAAACTTGGGGCAATGCCTGAGGTTTGAAGGATGCAGAGAAATGCATTGAGCTGGATCCAACTTTTGTAAAGGGTTATACTAGAAAAGGTGCCATACAGTTTTTCATGAAAGAATATGACAAAGCTTTGGAAACGTATCAGGAGGGGTTGAAACATGATTCAAACAACCAGGAGTTGCTTGATGGCATAAGGAGGTATTTGGTTATGTTACATTCCTGGTGTTTGTTGGTTTCAGTTTTCTGCTTTATGCATACGCTCTACGAGAGTAATTGTCTTTACATTAATATCTATTTCAGATGTGTAGAACAAATTAATAAGGCCAGCCGTGGAGACATAAGTCCTGAGGAGTTGAAGGAGAGACAGGTGGGACCCAATTGTTTTAAATAAAACAATTTTTTGCAGAAACTGTTTCGAGTTTGAATTTTTCTCCATCTATGTGGTCTTCACTTTTTGTGTGCCTCCAGGCCAAGGCAATGCAGGACCCGGAGATACAGAACATCCTCCAGGATCCTATTATGAGACAGGTGTGCTACCCATATGGCGCGCCTCTTGATGCGTGTTAGTGTATGGCGTTGGTGTAACAGGAATGAGCTGTGCTTATGTAATTTGTGGGTGGTGCATGCAGGTATTGGTTGATTTTCAGGAAAATCCCAAGGCTGCCCAGGAGCATACAAAGAATCCAATGGTGATGAACAAAATCCAGAAGTTGGTCAGTGCTGGAATTGTCCAGATTAGATAAATTGGATGGGATGTGCATGGGGTGCAGTGCATGGCTGATTTCAAATGTAGATTGGATCGGAAAATGGAGAAACAATTTACGGTTGGGAATTTCTTAATCATTTATGCTCTCACGTTGTTTTCGTTGGCTTTTTTAAATTATGAATTTGGGTCCCTCAAGCTCAAATCCCATTAGTTTTCGCCTCATGGTGGGTGGCTCAAGACTTATTTCTTTTATGCATAATATGGTTCTTCATGCCTTCAAGTTCAAAGCAACATCTAAATTGTGGTGCTGAGATGCTAGGGTTTTATTTGGAATGTTAGAATGCGGAAATATAAGATCAAAGGAATTACATTTTGCTGGGCTATGTTTTATTGCAACTCATAGCAGCATCAAGTAGAGACGTAGATCACCACAAAACCCAATTGTATTAACCTCGTGTATTCAGGCTGCTTTTAACATGGATTATGACTTATCTCTATAACATCCATTGTTTGCTGAGTTGCATCTTCGCAATGAGATTTTTCATGGATTATTATTGGAATATTATTTCCTCCAATCTTTGGTGCAGTACATCTACAAGTTTGTTACTCTATTTGGTATGGTTTGTTTTTCATGACTTTTCTCTTTTCCTTCCTCTTGGTCCTTTGGGTTTTTTAACTATTCGTGCATTGGAAACACTCTGGTTTCCAATGTTGTTAATGATCTTTTTATCGAAAAAATAGAAGAGAAAAAGCAAAAGCAACATATGCCACTCGTGTTTCTCCCATGTGCAGGTTGCATGCAAATGAACCTGTGGGAATTGGGCCTTTTCGTCCATGGGCTGATTGGGTCAGAGGGGAACGATTTGGGAAGGGTTTGTTTGATCTGTTAACGTTTTTCGTTCTGATTTCGTGGTCAATAGACCGCGGTTTGGGGGTTTGGGTTCGTTTATCTGACTAGTCACAGGTATTGCCTCTGCTTCGATGCATCGTGAAAATTTATGTAGGTGGGAATTTGTGGTGGCAACGGTCAGGTCTGATATGGGGCTTGCTTGAACTTAAGAAGGCGCAGTTTTTTTTTTCTTTACCCTTTTCTAATGGAAAATATTCTTCAATTTTCCCCCAGATTCTGTTTGTACGCATGTGGATATGGGTGAGTAAAATCGAATTGAAATTGAAGATCGAATTGAATTTGATTTATTTGATTCAATTTATTTGATTATAAGGTTCGATTTGATTTTTTTTAATAAAAATTTTGATTGAACGGTTTGATTGAATTTAAGAATTATTGAAATAAATAAGTTAAAAATTTTGATTATATGTATTTTTTCTTTGTATATTTTTAAAAGGTGAATAAATTTTTATTTAGATGAGTAAGAAATATTTTTGCATTATTTGAAGTAGTAATTTTTTTATGATGTGATGTTTTGTTTTTTATTTTTATAATTTAGTTTTTAATGTGATAGTATTAAATTTTATTAATTTTTTCATGAATTATGGTATCAGATTTTTTTTTTTTGGCTGGACCTTCAACATCAAGGAAAAAAATGAATAGAATAATATATGAATAATTAAATTTCATAAATTAAATTAAAGTCTATGAATTGAATAGATAGATTGAATTGAATCATTATAATTCAGTTTAATTAAGTATTTTGATTCAATTAATATTTTTTTTTTTGCGAAATTTGGTCAATTGTTTTGGAGAGATTGGAACTGAATCAACTAAATGTTCATCCCTACTTCTTGATAGGACGTTAAGGTCCACTACTTTATCTATTTTTCAACAATATTACTTGTAGATGGGACGTTAAAGTCTTGTTGATCAGTTCAAATTGATTAAGCCAGTAGCTAGTTTATGATGATGGTTTTTGTTTTGGCCAAAGTTTATGATGGTTAGTATAGTTTGATTCTATTGAAAAACTTCTTTCCAACCAATATTTGAAAACTTAACTTAAACAAATATACATAAATATTATTTTTATAACAAATAAGATTATGTTGAAAAGAAAAATTTTCTTCCCTTGTTGATCTCAATCATTCACTTTTCCTTCATTCCCTGGACACCTAAAGGATAGCTTTGGTGGCATAGTTGTTTATCAAGGCAAACAATTATACTATTTGGAGTAAAGCCATAAAGATGGCACTTCGTGCTAAGAATAAGATTGGAATCATGGGTGGGACATGTACTAGAGACAGCTAAGATCCACATCTTCTTGTTGTAGCGATCCTCTCATGGCTAATCAACTTTATATCTAAAGACATCTCAACAAGAATCACTTTTTCAAAAGATGCGAGACTTGTATGGCAAGACTTGAAAGAATGCTTCAATGTAACAGACGGAATAAAATCTATAGTCTTTATCGTCTTATCAACTCCTTCACTTAAGATTCAATGTTTGTATCAAGTTACTTCACCCGCCTTAAAGAAATGTTGGAGGAGTATTTAACCTTAGTCCTATTGCCCAATTGCAAGTATACTTCTTTAATTGATTATGTCAGGATTGTTCAAGAGCAATAATTGTTTCAATTTTTTACGGGACTCAATTCATCATACTAGAACATGCGTAGTTAGATATTGCTTATGAACCCACTGCCTAGGATAAATCAAGCAAATTCCATCGTATGCTAAGAGGAAACAGAATGAGCTTTGGCCTCTTTGTCTTTACATATTAAAAGGTCTACTATAACTGCTAGAGGGGGAGGGCAATTCGGAACAGGACATGCTAGTAGAAATCCCTCTAAGGAGTGCTTCTATTGCCACTGATGTGGCCATCAATGAGATGATTGTTTTCAATTAGTAGGGTTTTCTCTTAACTGTTAAAGAAGAAGAGGCTGAGGAAATCAAATTAGACGAGTTAATCAAGCAAAAGCCCCAACTCTAATGTTAATCCTATGGAAAACCAATTCTTGACGTCCCAACAAGACTATGAGAACATACTCAATATGCTTAAGAAAGAAGCGACCAATGTCCCTATTAGAAGCCGTTGCTTCCAATAAGGTCTACAAGTTTGATTCTTACCATTTTATCTTTAGGATAGTCATGCATAGCTTATTGGTTATTAGATTCAAGTACAACTTGTCATGTTGTAAGTTCCTTGGGTTATTTAGACATATGTGAAGAAAATAATGGGCCTCCATTAAGAATTCAGATTCCAAATAATGATAAACTAAAAGTAACACATATTGGATTAGTTACACTTTTTGATAATATTGTTATGCATAATACTATATGTACCTGGCCTTTGTTATGATCTAGCTTCTATCTCTCATCTTACTTAAGAACAACATTGCATCATTGCCTTTTTTCCTAATGTAAGCATTTTACAAAATCTTTACAATTGGAACATAAAGATAATTGGTAAATTGGATTTTAGGCTTTGCATAGTTGAAGAGATTGATGTTCATGTTCATAATAATACTATTTCTAAGCTGTGGCATTTTAGGTTAAGCCATACATTGTAATGTCTTCTTTGAGATTATCAATAATTACCACAATCACAGTATATAATGGTAATTAAGAGTTATAGATCACTCATAGCTTACCATAAATGTGTATCAATGATGTGTATGGTTAGAGAGGTCTAATGAGCATGTTTGGCTATAATTTCAGCCTTAAATGCGACTCCAAAGTGAAGTTAGATCACCTAAATATGAAAAAGGGAGAAAATCTGAAAGAGGAGATTTTGTGTCACACGCCGTGGCATATAGCTTATCTGCCATGGCGTATGTAAGCTATTGTGCTTGGGCAAGACTTTTTTGTGCCATTCACCATAACATGTGATACGTTTGTCGTGGCACATATGCACTTTTTTATAGAAATAAGAACCCAAAACTGATGTAGAAGAGGAGAGAAACAAAAGAGTGAATGAAGAAAACACAAGGAGCTTTGTTAAGTCTTAGGGTTTAAAAGCATTTGAAGTATTTTGAAACTTTTATACACTAGAGGTAATTTTTTCAAGCTTAAATCTACCTTTCTCTTCCATTTTCTCTACTTGAAAAGTTAAGATTCGATTGAGAATGATAATTTTCAGTCCATAAAGACTATGGGTCTAAATCCATTAACTTAAATAGAGTTAATGGAGTTGATTGAGCTATCTAAACCTAACATTATGACTCCATGTGTTTTTGGTCAGTTGAGGTCATAAATGAATAAAAATCCACCATTAATAAGGTGATTGGAGTAATGTGGCTCTATTAAGAGTTATTTAAGAGTTCAATGATATTAATGTGAGTTAGGAAGTTAAGAAGTCCTATAGGCACCCTTATATGGGAAGAAATTAAATCTTAGTAATGAAGTGTTTAAGTTAATAGTGAAAATCATTTATAAAAGGGTATTGATGAATTATATTGTGATTAATTGGAGAGTGAGCATACTTGGCACAATTTAAGCTTTGTGGAAGCTTTAGGAGTGTGTAATTAAGGGGTGAAACATTTGATTTCTCAAATGTTTAAAGTAACCAGGGGAATTTTCTCTTGTGTTCTTGGATGTTAATTGATTTATTAATTTGTGTTTTACAATTGAAATGCATGAAATTTCTTAATACAAGTATGGCATGAAATGTTTAAAAATTTATATTAAAATTTTATGAAGTTTAATGATATGGTCTGTGGAGTTCAATGATTGTGATTTGGTGGAGTATAATAATAGTAAAAATGTGAAGTACTATGAAATAATGTTAATGGAGTTTTATAACCTATTTTTAATTGAAGTTCAATGATTATATGTTAAGCGAAGTTCAATGACATAACATGTTGTGATGCGTATTAAATGTAATTATGTGATGAATATGTGTAACGAAAGTACAATAAGATAATTGAGCATGCTTGGGTAGTGAACACTTACATGCTAGGGGTTATTGCATATTTATATATTGTATGAGCATAAAAGATGAGAGTTTCCCTAGGAAGAGGAGTAGTGAGTTGAAATCTTGTGGTAAGGCTTCCATCTAAGATCAATGGCTTGCTTAGATTATTTATTCGTCCTACTTGTTCAATGAGGGACTGTCCCATTGATTCAATAAGGGACTCAAACTTAGCTAGTTATTCACTTATTCAACGAGAAAGCTAGTCTAAAAAGAATGACACCCTATAGTGTGAGAGATAAGGGAAAATGTGATCCACAAGTACATTGGGAAACCTTGGCTGGGTAACCTCTTATACGTGTTTAGCAAGGAAAAGTCTCAGTTTATAAATAATCCCAATGTGTTATAGCTTGTAGCTTCACGTCAAAGGAATAAGGAGGATATAAGAGATGTATGATCATGCATATAGTGATAAAAAGGGAACATGGTTGTCTGTATTGTGATCCTAGTGTTGAAAATCATGAGAGTAGTCTTATACATATGTGAAAAAGTATTAATAAGTCATTATCTTATGAATACATGCTAATATGAAAGAGAATTGTGATTAGTGTTTCTTGATCATGTTAAATGAATTAAGAATAATATCTTGCCACTTGCATTTAAATTGATTGATGTGCATTAGTATGAGTTAGATGAACATAGTTATTGAGTAATTGTACTCACCCTATTATCTTTAATATTACAAGAACTAGCTCATCAGAATATAAATAAGGA